GTTACATCTTTGGGGAATATACTGAAGTAGGAAAAGCAAATAAAAAGGCTGTGCAGTAAGTGCTCCGTGGCAATCATGCTCATTAAGTAGTTCTGTACCATTTACCAGTGGTGCTGAGTAGGTAATAATTGGATTCGCCCTCAATGTATAGAACTTAAAGAAAAATTATGCAGTGAGCTCATCAGCATGCATGTTTTATTACTGACCGCTCTCACCGTTGCCTGTGTTGTCAATCTTTGCTAAATACCACGTCCCTGGAGGCTTTAGTAAATCCGTGTACTAGAGGAAATAACAGAGGCATTAAAGGATTTCATGTGGACAGCAAAATCGTATTTCCTTCAATGTCTGAGCAAAAAAAATCACATTTTTGCATATGGGAGAGGGTCAGATGATTAAAGGAACGTAGGCAGATCTCACCTAAGCTGCTTCTCTGACTGAAGGATGGCTCCAGTTTGTTACAGAAGCTGCTCCGTGCATAAGCAATTTATGTGCTCTCTGGTAGGAGTTTTTTATCTTCTGGTTCTCCCATAAAAATGAGCGCACTTGAAGATGACAGTTGTCATTACTTACTTCTGTAGTAAATAACAGATATCAAATAACTGAAAAGGGGAAAAAAGAAGGTGTCTGGAAGTTCAGTTTTGGTCATCACTGACTGTCTTGTGACTCATTTTCTGCGTTGCCCACGGGGTTAGGCCTGGAGTGCAGAACACATCCAAGAGCTTCATAAGGAAGCCAAGTGGTAATGCCAAGGTTTGTAAATTCAGGGGACTTGGATAAAGGAAGCAATATATGTTTGTTTTCAGCAAGTTACTTGGCTTGTTTGGGACACTCCTAAACTTTTTTTTTCCTTTAATGGAAAGGTGAAGCTACTTACTTATTTTAAAAATCTAATTTCAATTCGGGAAAAAAGTTTGGAAACCACTATTTTTCATTGTTTCAAAATTTTACTGTAACATTTTATCCTAATCAGATTTGAACTACTGAAGGATTTCCTTCCACTGCTATCAAGATTTTAAAACGTGACCTGACAACTAACAGCGGTATATTTATTTCATAGAAGAATTTTGTGTTTTTTCCTAACTCTTTTTTTTTTTTTTCATTTCTTTTTGTTTCTATTATTGTCATAAAAAGATTTAAAGCCCCTATTGGACTAGTGTGCAGATCATAAAACACAAAGCACTTCCTGAAAGGTAATTTTCCAGGAATGAAAAATATAAGAATTGTGTTTGATAGTTTGGTCTTCTGTCATTCACTGTTGTATTAAAACAGCCAATTTTCAATAACCACGAATGGCCTGAATCTTGAAAACCGACAGTTATAAATTAAAAGCCTTAATAATTGGAAATCAAAACCCGTATAAAATTCTAGTAGGCCTCAGATAAATTTTAAAACAAATTAGGGTACAGAAAAATGATGCGCAAAAAAAAAGATGCATTAAATTAAAAACCACAAGTATTAAGTACACTTTAGGAGAGGTTTTGCTTTGGTCAGCAGCTGCTCTAATTATCTCAGCTAATGCAGTATTTATCCTGAAATGCACGAATATTTATATAACATCAGCAATGGCCTTCTAAATAATATTTTTTTAGGACCTGACCCTGGGATTTGTTCTACCTGGTTATGGGTGGGCAGCATCTGGTTCTTAGGATGTCAGAGCATCAGCCTGGGCATTGTCTTCCTTCAGATTAGCATTGATGTGTTCAAGGTCTGTGACAGCTCCTGTTGTTTATTTTTATTTATTGGGGTGGGTGAGAGTGCTTGCATATATGTATGTATGCTCCCAGAGACACAAGAAGTGTTTTTATCCTATGTTCTGGAACTCTGGACTCTGCAGTTTACCTCCAAGAAGCGTAGCTCTGAAGCAATGGATGGCGTTCAGTTCAGGTGGTCAGTGAGGGAGGTGAGTTGTGTGATAGATTTGGCTGGCTCGATACATCTTCCTGTTTCAGCTAAGTACTTCTAAATTTTTTTTTAAGGAGAGTTGAAATGTATCATCGTAATTTGTCTAATCTTGTTTGCTACCGATTGCAGTAGCCAAATTGTTTAGAACTTGAAAGTGAAATAACATCTGGGGACAAACACTCCTTTTTTTTATTCCCTCTTCCCATAATTTTGCCCTCCCCTGGAGGTCGCACCAGGCTGTTGTGTGACTCCCATTCACACAGCATCCAGATGAGCAGATTGAAATGGAGAGACCAGTCGTGGTGGTGGTGCTGAGGAAATTGCCCATCACCTCGAAAAGCTGGGGGTCAGTATGGGGCAATGCCGGTGGGTCAGGACATCCTCTGACAGAGCTGCAAAAGTACAGGGAGAGGGGTGTAGCAAATTTCACTTCTGATACTCCAGTGTGGTTGAAAGAACTTCAGTACACTGGAAGGACTTCTTGTAGCTGTGCTGCAGCACAGCAGCGCGTGGAATCGGAGCAGTTTCTCCTTGAACATTTGAATTCTCAGCACTGTCATGCCTGCGTGCACATATGGAGTTTGATGATCTGGTAGGTAATATCGGAAATGGAAGTACATCACAGCAGTGGCTGTTACTGAAGACATTTGGGGTAATCACAGGACACCACTGAGTCAGATGGCTGGCAGTGAATCCACGAGCATCTCGTGATGGACAGCTTGTACAAGTACTACGTTCTTGTTACTAATGGGTGTGCTGTGGGCTCTGACAAGAAGCATTTCAGAGATCAGACTTAATGGTGATTTTATTTTTAATGCATTTATTTGCTGTACAGATGTTTGAGGAGATAATGTGGGAAACATATTTCTGCTATAAAGTCTTCTAGTTTATTCGGAGGTTATAAGATTTGTAAAGCACTCTGCAATCCCTCACTGAGGAGTTCTGTACAAGTCTAACCTTTCTTTAGGATGACAAACTTTCCTTGTAGAGATTGGTAAGAATATATAACCTGGAGATTAAAAAATGGAAAGACTTCAAGGCTGGAAAGGAGTCCTTGCTAGCAGAGGATGCAGGATGGATGAAAAGAAAAGCAAGAATAAAGAAAAAGGTGGCCCTTGAAAGTGAAGTTTAAAAATCGCATTTTTTTAATCCAGCTTCACTTTTGCCATCAGTAAACTGTTACAAATGGACATGAGAAAGGATACACATTCTCAATTACTGATAAATTTCCTGCTGGAGCTGTAGTTAAATATAAAGCAACTCTTGCTCAGTGTGTGTGATCGTACCTGTTCCAAGCCCTGGGAGCTGTGGGCACTGCATCAACTCTGTCCATCAAATGTTATTGTACAATCTGCTGGTTTTAAGGTGCTCATCAGTAACGTGTTAACAATGGAAAGCGATAGTGTTAAATCCTGACCCCACTCGCAAGGAGAATTATGCCCTTAATTTCAGCACAGCTGGGATTTCATCTTTGTGTCCTGCCCTAAGGAGCAAATTTAGAGGGATAACGGTGGTCGTGGTAAGCTCTCTGGCTAAATGAGTCCTTAGGAAATTGTCCACCATTCTTCCTCCACACAGGCTTCTTGCTGCCTTGTGAAGCACTCAGATATTGATGGGAGCTTGGGATTTCCATGCCTCTCCAAAAGTCTTATAATGACATTTTTGTTATTTCCTATAAAGCATGGATTTAATAAAGCCTGCAGGGACTCAGTATTACTGAAGATTGACAAGATGGAAATTGGCATAAATGTTCAGCAGTAAAATGCTAAGAATTATGATAATATTTTATAAAGTACACTGAAAATGTGGTTTAAAACATTGGGCCCATTTGAAAAATGGAACCCTCTTGAGTTTATTTCAAAATCATAATCATCTCACAGCACTTATGCCGGGTATATTTTTGCATGCAGATATCCAGCGCTAAATGAGAGATGTATTTTTAAGAGAAGTAGCAAAATATATTCACTATTCTATAACCTCCTAGACCTGTGACCATTTTTAGACTTATTTATTTCATTATAAATTACTTTTTGTCTAACTTATCTCATTATTTTCGGTTAAATCACATATATATTGCCATCGGCTGTTCTTTCTCCGATACTGTATGCCCTTCATCTGCATACAGCCCGTGTCCTCCTCTGTTGCCATTTGGCTGTGCTGAATGTGCTCAGTAATTTGGAATCTTCCTTCATAAATCGATTTATTTTTTGCTGCTGTTCTCTGAATTTTCTCACAAAGCTGACAAACTGCTGAGATGAATCCCAGTGTTGCTAAAAATCAATGGGATATTTCTGATTTTCACACAGGATCTAGGATTTGACTTGATTAGAAGAGTTGCAGTGAGGCGAAGCTTGTGTTTGAGCGTTTCTGTCTTCATGTCTAAGAGATCGGAACATGTAGGCTTGTACGGTGCTGACTGCACGCCTTTGGATCCTCCTGCCCAGTGCTGCAGGCTGAGAAAGCTCAGCATCTTGCAGGTTCTAGCCCTACAGAAACCACTTTTCCACTTTTATATCATCTGAAAGGGGCTGCAGTAAATGGGATCGGTGTAAAAGCATATTGAAAATTTCCTCTAAGTGGGTATGAAATCGCAGTTTGCGTATTCCACTGTTGGAGTGCTACAGTAATGCTGCTCGTATCAATATATTTCTCTGTGGTTAGCACTCTGATCCCTGTTAAATCTGCAGCAACTGTGTAAAAGAAATTCCATTTAGCGTTTGAAAGAAGGAAGGGTTGGTAGTTAAGGCTCTGGACTGTTGCTTAAAAGAACAAGGTCTAGTTCTTCCACAGGCTTTTTGTGTGACCGTAGGTGACCCATTTAATCGTTCTGTGCCTTAGTTTGCCATCTGTAAAAATGGCATTAGTGATGATGTTTTCTGAAGCTTTACTTTTCTTGACAGTTCTTGCATTTATATTTTGTGTATATATCTGTCAGATTCCTTGTAAAGCACAATCCTGACAACCATCAAGTTCTTCAAGTTTTTCTCTAATAAAATTAGTGTCTAATAAAACACAAAATGGTTTCCAGTCAATTAAATGAGATGATACAAAGATGGAACAACACGAAAAATGTGTATTTTCCTTTCCTTCCCTTTCAGGAAATGATAACAGTGAAGCCCTTCCAGAGTCTATCCCATCTGCTCCTGGAACTCTGCCTCATTTTATGGAGGAACCAGATGATGCCTATATTATAAAAAGCAACCCCATTGTCTTACGCTGTAAAGCTATGCCAGCCATGCAGATTTTCTTCAAGTGCAACGGTGAATGGGTCCATCAAAACGAGCACGTGTCGGAGGAAAGCATGGATGAGACCACAGGTAAGGGCTGATGTGTCCTTTGGAAGACAGAAGTGAGTACGGTGCCACTCAGCGATATACAAACCAGAGCAAGGTACAGCAGAGCACACTCCACGATACACAAACAGGAGCACTGGGGGTTGTTGCAGGGCAGGTAGCTACAGGACTGCACTGAGCTGAAGGAATGGGACCAGACGCACATTCGGAAGTCCTATGACAATGCCAGCTCTGCTCAGAGCACAGCCAGTGAGCCGTGCTAGCGGGTGCAGAGCAGCAGCCTAAGCTCACTGCTAGGCTACCGCAGCAGCATGTTTTGGTTGGCTCGGTGTGTGGGTAAAGACAGATTGTGTGTGCTTCTGCTGCACCGCATAGACACAGCTTTGTGGAGATGGGAGAAGAAGTTTCCCAAATGCAAACGGAAAGGAGTGGGTGGGAGAGGGTAAGAAAAGGTCAGACCTGAAAGGCAGAGAAGGGGAATACAGATCCCGGCAGGAGAGACATGCTATAACTGGGGAGATGGAGGGAATTAAAGCGACTGAAGGCGCAGGAGGTGTTGCACAGAGACAGTAACAAGTTGCATATGCACCACCACCTTCTCCAAATGGAGACATAGGGCTACGATAGACAGAGAGCTTTCTGTAAGAAAATAACAGTTTTTAGAGGGAACTTCTGTGTGTTTCAGTGCTGTAATTTGTAGTGGGAAATACAAACAGGAAAGAAGGATGCTTTTATGAAATTCCTGTCAGGATGAACCCCGAAAACCAATGGCAACATCAGTATATTGCATGACTTGACATTTACCTTCACCCCCAAGCACTGATAGGTATTTGGTAAGTAATGAAGTTAAGCAGGAGAAATCCATTGTGTAAAAGTGTATATCTAAACAAAGAGGAAAAGAAGGGAGAAAGTTGAAAATGATCAACAGATTTTATCATGCCTCCTGCACACCCTCTATCTTTTCTCATTTAGAAGAATCTTGATAAGTATTGCAAACCAATTTAATGCTGCACCGTCTTGTAATTTCACAATTCAGTTTTGTTATTGCTTTCCTCCTCTTTTTAAATTCCAAGATTGCTAGGCAACTCCAAGTATTGGAAATAGCAGCGTAGGCATAACATCCTCTCTATCAATATAAGAAATTCCTTTTGAGAGGAAAAAAGCTGTTTTAAAAAGAAGATATGTCTCCTAACATGACAGTGGTGTTTGGAATTCTTTTTAAGTGACACATTCTGAAGAAATTTCATACTAATGGCTTTTTGTAAATGCTAATCTGGATGAATTTTAATTTTTGCAGTTACCTTTTCAAAAAGACTTTAATAGGTGTAACCTTTACTTCTAAAGGCAATGCTGAATCAATGTAGGAGAAATGTCGACCCTGAATGTTTTCCTTCCATATGGTTAATGAAAATCTGTCATGTGAATACTGCAATTATGTTCTTGAAGCTTTGGATTAATAACAGAATGAAAAAAGATCAAGCAACTTTAGGTCTTTGGTTTTTAAGTGTGGTGGTTTTTGCTGTTGTTGTTGTATGTGTGTGGGTTTTTTTTATTAATATTAAAACCAGTAACGTTGAGTTTTGAAATGTGGAGGCACAGCCTTAGCAAATGGGATCTAAAATATAAGTGGTGCAGGTTTTAATTTAGCCCAAGAACAGAGCTACCCCTTAAAGTATTGCTATTTGAACAGCGTGTGGTCCAGACAGCTCAGGGGGTTTGTGTGTTCTGAAAGCTACCCCAGTGGTCCGTAGGCACAGAAATGGAAGCAAAGACTATAGTGTAATGTTGAAGGACAGTCCTGGATACTCTCTCCCATGGTGTATCCGTATCCATACATTATTTTAGAACTCTTACCCAGTCTTCAGTAAACAGCAGACTTGGGTTTTGTTGTTGTTTGGTGTTTTTTGTGGGGGAGAATAAATATGCATACTGGCAGTGCCCTCATTTCTGGAGTCAAATCTGAGCATAAACACGCCTGTTACCAGGCACACGCAGTGTTCTGCATGCTGCGTGGGCTCCGTTGGTGAGAAGCTGCATGAATTTGTGCCACGAATGCTGCCTCTGGTTAAAGGGAGCGCTCTGGTGTGCTCACCAAAAGGAGGCCACACTGAGCGAAAAGGGGTCTGTCCTTCTCCATTCCTCCACTGCTTGTTATGTGATGACAGCTCAGAGAGGAAGCTTTGAAGAGGGGTGAAAAATAGGAGCAACAACAAAAAAGAGGAAACTTAATGCTGACTGCAAGAAATGTACCTTAGCATCGCTGCCAGCATGCTCCTAGCCAAGTGTATGCAAGAAGTACTTGGCAGTGGTACTTGAAGGCACACTGCTGCTGATGGATTTTACCTACAGCTTGTTATTGTGTATTTCTAGAAGGACAGGAAGGACAGCTGCTGGTAGGCAATGGGTATATTTTGTCATTGTGATGAATATTAAATGCAATTTCACAGGCTACTATTTTCATAGGGGAGAAATACAAATCTTAGAGTAATACATAATCAATGTGTTAATTTGCACAAGAGGATGGATGTAGTTTTTGTAGTTTTGTAAGGTCCATGGATAAATACTGGGCTCCGACACATGCTGAGGATGTACAGGGGTCCTGGTGGGCTGAAGGAGCTTGCACTGAAGTTGTTGTGGCTTTGCTGCTGTTGATGCAGAAGGTCCAGGCAGGCAAGCCAACGCATACTATGGCTATGATGGATCCAGGTTCCCATCTCTGTGCTGTCACAGTCGATTGGTCAGTTACAGACCAAGTTATTTCATCTTCTCCCTTGCTTCCTGAGCTGCAGAAAGCAGTAGTCTGCCTTTTTTTTTATTTATTCCATAAATGTAGCAGAACAGGAACTTCGCTCACTCTATATACGTGGAAAGTAAGAGCCTGAGCTACTAGATGCTATTGCGATAATAATATAATAGTTATGGTTTGACTCAATTTCTTCTGTTTTATTTGTTTGTTTTTGTTTTTTTTTTTTCATCTGAGAATTAGTTTACAAATATTTCAACTTTTGGTTTCGCCACAGGATCAAACCTGCTAAGAGTAACTAGAGTTTTCTTGTCTGATAAAGAAAAGGATTACAGCAATAACTGCTGTCAGCGTTTTTCTCATTTAAACAAATAAAGCTGACAAATGCTGAAGTTCTGTGCAGCTCTGTTATGTTTAGTACATGGAGAGCAATTATTCATCTGCTGCCAGCATTAGTCTATCTGCAGCTAAACCATCCAGCAGTGCAGAAAGCTTATTAGCATATCAGTACCAGAGTCATAATTTTATATTCTGCAAGGCTGTACCGTGTAACAAAAGATGATGGTTATAATTTGCACAATAATTTAAAGGGTTGGACTTGCAGTGCTTATTAGAGTTTTACAAGTTACAGGTAAAATGTTGTTCGTGTTTATGATGTGCCTGTTTTTCATTTGCATGGATTTTTCGTTCTGTGTCATTTCCTATGAACAATTTTTCTGGCATTTCTTGAGATGCAGAGGGCAGGTGAATACATCTGTTGATAAAATATAGTGCTGATGAAGGAAGAATATATGCCTCTGTTCCCAGCAGATTTGCTCTTCATAGTTGTTTCTAAAACAAATGAAAATATGTGTGCTTCCTCCATAAACAACACCTAACTTTCCCCAAAGACTTGATGTTCTCCAGATCAGTTTTGTGGACTGGGAAATGGGGAGACCTTTGCAAGGGCCTGGATCCCTACCTCTCCCCCTCTCAAACCTTGGACCCCCAGCCCTCACAATCGTGTGCTGTTTGGTTGCCTGACTCAAAGCACATTAAGCATTGCTTCAGAAAATGCAGCCTTATCTATACTAATTAAATAATGTGTCAGTGAAAGGAAGCGCTAGGCTGGAGAATATTCTACCTTAACAAACCTGAAGCTGCAGATGCCTGTATTCAGTGATGACTGCTCAGAATTTTACAGCAGCAATGAGCCTAGAAATGGCTCCTGCTCTTACACGTGGTGATTTTTCTGGTAGGTATCAGGGAAGGTTCTGTTGCTTGCACCAGTAAGCTGTATAATAGGTAGTTCTCAACTCCTCATTTCCATTCGCTGCATCCAAAAATTCCTCGAGTAGCTCAGAAATTGAGAGAGTTCAGACGACAGACAGTGCATCGTAGCTGTGTGGGGGAACGGTAGCACTGTCAGCAAGGTTGTGGTTAACGGCGGGTGACAGGGAGGATTTTCATCCCCAGGAAGATGCTACACGGAGGTCACGGTGGGGATAAGCTGAGGGGTGGATGGGAGGTGAGCTGGATGTGCTCAGGCCCAGCAGGAGGCTGAGCACACCCAGTAGGCCCCAGCACCTTCACAGGAGCGTGCAGGGCAGCAGGGGCACTGATACGGGGCACAGGGTCACACAGAAGTGTGTGTCAGCTAATTGAATGCTGGACAAGTGATTGCTGACCGAGACAGGCCGTCGTTGATAGGTCAGTATTTGTCAAGGACTAATCATTTTTCATCCTTGTCAAAGAAGTCTTTAAGTAGATGGGTTGCAACCTTGTTGGACGTGGCTGCAAATTAGCTTGGAGTTGGAGGCTCTGGAGCTTGATGCTTCGTAGCTTGGACTGAGATGATCCAGGGACTGCACACAGCTTCATTTATCAGAGCTTACACTATCAAAAAAGTATGTGTCTGTCAGGGTCGTACAGCGTGGCGGGACATGAAATATTCAGCCAGTTGAGGCCTGCTGTGGTCCAGGTCCTGTGCAGCAGGACTGAAATGCCAGAACTCACTGCCGTTATCTTTAACTTCTAAGGATCACTACAGAATGGTTGTATGGCTGAGAATTTGAGGATTCATTGCTGTCAGAGCAGCCTGGATGTTTAAATTGAGATGGTGCACTTCCAGCATACGTTTTACAGTCTGTGTCAGCGAGGACAGGAGCTGCTGACAGACCTGCTGAGCTCCGGGTGTGAGGTTTCGTTCCTAATGGCTTGTTTTCATGCTGGCAGAAAACAAAAGGGATTTTTTGTAAACAATTTTGAAAAATGCATCAACATATTTAAAAAAAAAAAAAAGCACAAATAAAAACAGCCAGGAAACCTCTGTTTGTTTATTACAGAGTGAATAAATATTTGAGTGACTAAAATGATTATTGAGTCAACTTAGGAAGCTGTCACAGGTTTGGCCATATCTTAAGGTGTTACTGTGAAATATGACAAGTCAAACAGGATAAATGGAAAGAAATAAAAATATCCTTTGCCTATTGCTGAAAATGTAGCAAAAATTTTGACTTGCTTTGTAGTATTTAAAGCTCGCCTGACCTTCCCCAGCCCTCTTCCCTGAGCATCCCCAGTGGGCCTCATCTCTCTTGTTTACCCAGGGAACAAACTGGCTTCCTGGTGCCTTTCAGAAGTGAAATACCCAGCTGTTAATGATGCCTGAGATTAAGTAGAAGCCAATTTTTATGGAGTTCAGGTTTAGAAATTTCTTGCTGCTTTATAAACTTCACAGGCATGAAATATTTTAAGATTGAGTTTTCATTCATTTCCAGTGAAGGGGAAATAAGTATCCTGGGACTGCACCAGAGGAGAAAAAGAAGAAAGTAGTAGGCATGAATTCTTTCAATTTTCAAATTAATGTTTTTCTGACTAGCTCTTTTAAATGATTCTTAATGCCTTTTAACCCTGATTTGGATTATGTTTCCTCTCCTCAGCACTGTCGTACAAAAGAGCTGCAGACATGGCAACCATCCCAAGCATGTAAAATAAAGTGTCAGGCTTACAAGACTTTGGTCTTTGTTGTCTTGTATTTACCTGCAAACTTTGACAGAAGCAAATGCTTCTGGTCTGAAGGGCAACACTGCTAAATTTCATCTGTGCTCAGCAGGTTACGAAAATGGTGGCAGGCTAAGAAAAAGCACAGGACTTTCCCCATCCTTACTCCCGGCTAGCCTTCATTATTCCATTAGGTCCTTCTCTCAGTTCTCTGGGTGAAACTGATTTCTACCTTGGGAAGAGATAGGTATTTGTTTTAATAAACAAGCAAGTTTGCAGTAGAAAACCAACAGCAGTGCATTGCAGATGAATTCAGCAAGGCTCTACTTGAGGAAAGACACTGGATAAAATAAGTCGGGTGCCTCTCTGAGGTTATAAATGCTTCTTTTAGTGAAAGCTGAAAGAAAAAAAAAAGTCAAGGCTTTGCTTTTGAAGCTGGATCCCTTGGTTCCCGTGGCAGAGGACCATCTCCATTTGTGAGATGTGCCATTTATTTCCCCTCATCTTTTCTAACAACTTCCAGACTCTACTGGTTTGAGCTTTGCTTTCCTCATGCTGCACTTGTAGGGCAAAGCTCTTCTCTCCTGTGTGAAGAAACAGCTGGAACCAAGACTGGAATTCAGTGGGGCTTTGTTAGTTCCTGGCACACAGACATAGTTCTGGATGGGGCTACTGGGGTACTTGGGAAAGGTTTTCAAGATCACTAAGAGTTAGGTGGAATACAGTTTTATTGCATCTTACAAAAATCCAAATAAGCATTTGGGAGAAAAAGGCACAAGATAAAAGGTTTCTGAAGTGTTACATTCTTGCAAAGACCACAGTGGGTGGGTAATTTTTTTAACCCAGTGCATTGTGACCTATTCAGCTTTTAGGATTTAATTAGCAGTAATATGTCATTATCAAAGTAATTAGAGCTTTGCCTTGATTTAAAATGGAATTGTTTAATTAAAAGAAAAGGTTTGGCTAACCTTAGCTTTAAGCCCAAGAAAGATAGCCTGTATTGGCTAATTTTCTGTGTCTTTCCCCTTCAGGCTTGAAAATTCGGGAGGTGTATATCAACGTGACGAGACAGCAGGTGGAGGACTTCCATGGGCCAGAAGATTACTGGTGTCAGTGCGTTGCATGGAGCCACCTAGGGACCTCAAAGAGCAGGAAGGCATCTGTCCGCATAGCCTGTGAGTAAATGTTCTGCCATTCTAGGTTTTGTAAGGCATGGAAACATGCTGTTTTTTTAGGGTTAAATACAAATTGATACCAGTGAGGCACTATTGTCTTTACAGGTGCTCACTTTGACATACCATAGAAAAGCATACCTTTTTTTTATTTTTATTTTTTTTTCAGAGCTTTCTTTTATTTTAATGTGGATTGATTGATTTGCATTTACACTCAGCAAGTCTGTTTCTCTCAGAGGTTCTGCCTGGATCACATACTCACAGTTTCATAACAATGCAATATGATAAAAGAGGCTAATGCAAACTGAAAACCCCCTGAAAAGTGCCCTTTTGCTCCACATAGGAGAGACGGGTCTAAAACGTCTGGAAAACCATTTAACACTATCTAATATGTTTTGTATAAAAAGTGCAAAAATACACTAGAATATTTTGTAGCATGGTGTTCTGAATTTAATTTTCAATATCAAAGCATACTATTGGTTGTCAGGTATGATAAGATGTGGGGACAATGAGATGAAGGTAGGAAAAATTGGGTTATTCTAATCAGTAGAGGAAAAATGTTAAGCTTTAAATAAAAGCACTGTAGATTAATTAAGAGTTATGATGAGCAGGCGGGAACAGTTACTTGGTTTAAACTCCTTTAGCACAAAAGACAAAAATTTTTAACATAACAGGGAGCAGAGGACAACTGTTTCCCCAGATGGAAAGTGTTCAGACTCAGTCTATCTCTGTTCTTCATATCTGAAGTACTATGCTGTAGTGTTACCACTCTCAATCAACGATTCATTATCTGAAAAAAAGATGGAATGGAAAATGTAATAAATGCCATCATAGTAAGAGGGACATCAAAGGACAGAACCCAAACACAATTGTTATTTTGAGACTGTGGAGATACTTGAAGACTCATCCAATTTTTACCCTGCAATTAGATCTGCTGCATTGTTCTAACAGAATCAGAGCCTGAAAGCGTCCTTTTGCAGCACTGCTGCTAGCAGGAAATTACTTTCCCCCAGTCTGTTGTGAACCCTTTTTCCTTTAAATCACCACTTCAGGTCTTTATAGACCTAGTCCCAGGAAATGATGACAACACGCTGAAAAAAGATGGGAGAAATGCTTCTCGGGAGGGAATGGGAACGCAGGGGGAGGTCTCGGTGAGTCAGGAGGCTCAAGCAAGAAACTCTGATTGCTAAATTTATCAGATAGCGTTCTAGCAATTTGTGATAAATCTTTTTCCCTTTTTCCTATCAGGATAACTAAAACATTTGAAGTAAGTAATAGGACAATGTACCAACTCCGTGATTTTATAAATGACAGATTTTTTAGCTGGCTGATTTAGTTTGAATGTGTAAATATGTGTAAACTCAGGTTTTTTATTTTACTGCATTAACTGTCATAACATTGAATGATCTGATAATTCCTAGGCATTGCTGAGCTGCAAAGGACTATTATTCTGAATTGAATTTTTATTGACTTTTCTCTGCACTGTGATTTCCCAACCCCATAACGTGGCAATATGAGTAAAAATCAGAATGAGGCGAAGCAGGTGGAGCCGTGTGTTGGGACTTTTAAACCCGTCACTGTGGTACCAGTTCTCCTGCAAGCTGCATCCCCAGCTGCCATCCCTAACTGCAGATATCGCATTAGCCTAGCAGGCACTCCAGAGAGTGCTCTTCATTTCTGCTCTCTGTAATGTCATACTGACGGGCTGAATGTTGCATCCGAGCACGGTGTGGCTCCGCTACTTTTACATGCAGCCATGTTTTTTTGTGAAAAGAAAAGCAATTCTTGAGTGCGGAGATGTAGGCACTTTTTAGTAGTCCAGACAGAGCAAATGAATAGCTGCCAGGAGATGTCTGCAACAACTCCCCTCCATGAGTTTCCAGAGCTCACCCTTTCATGGACCTGTGCCACCCTGTCTGCGGTGAACAACACAGCTACTTAATTTGGGGCATGGATTTCTGACCTAGAGAATACCCTGCAGAGGGCTAGAGATGAGAATGTGCAGATCTAATTTGTGATAGCATACGGAACTTGTAACCATTTCAGAGATTTTTCACAGCACCTGTCACTGCGATGTGTAGTGTCGACTTCTGTCTTTCCTTTTTTCTTTCTTTTTTTTTTTTGAACGTATAGTCTTGAGGTTCTAAATTGTGAGTTGAGTCCAAAGCATTACAGCACTTTATATTTCTCAGAAAAAGCAGGTAAGTATTTCTTTCTGGTAGTGCTGAATGCAGGGAAAGCGAGAAGATGGATCGTGCTCCATTTTTCATCCTAATAAAGACATTTGTAGGCACAACTGCATCTGAAGTGTTAATGAATGAGTTTTTAAGTAGCATACTGAAAAAAAAGATTGGTTATCTGTGTGAAAAAATCATCATTAACAAAGAATCATAAAAAGGAGAATACATGCAGTACATGAATCTTTTCTCTAGTGACTGGCTGGCTTGCTAAATAAGTCTTAATGTATTTTATAAAATATATTAAAGTGTAACTGATTCAGAGCCTCTGCTGTTTAAGGGGCTGTATTTCATGAAGTGTAAGCAATGGAGAAAATTAAATCAGTAAATCCACACTGTGGAATTTGAGACACTGTTTGAAGAAAATGAGTATGTCTAATGGAAACATCCTAACTCTCAAAGCACGTGTTGTAAGTAATATTCCTTCTGTTATGCTTCCCTATCACAACAAGCAAAACTTTACATAATCATGGGCATACCTGGGTCAGGTCAATGTCATTAGATACGGGTTTTCTTGATGTTGTGATTTACCTGGACACTTGCACACAGAAGTCCTGTGGTCACATCAGTATGACTCAGGCAATATGCGTGTTTTCTTATCTTTAATTATTGGCTTGGCCATGGTATCTGGGTAATTCCGTTTCTGAACTGAAGCAGTCTTGTCGTCGGGCGGTTTGGAATGTGTCCAGAGCCTGCATCTGACTGGGAAATTGGCATGCAGAGACGGCAGCATTTGCTGGCCCTGTGAACCTTCTCTCACCTTACTTTGCTGATAATGCAGCCATGGGGCTGGTTGTTCTCATCTAAATGTATAGGTTCTGCTTTGCTCAGCATTTGAAGTCTGCGTTTTTCCTTAAAGAAAAGAAAATCTGGGTTTCTCCATGGGGAGAAAGTTTGGAAAAAATGTTTTTTCAGGGTTTTTTTTTGTTGAAGCATTAAATGTAATACCTCACACGCTTTCTCTGTCGTTTCCCAACCTCCCATAAAGGAAAATGCTCCGATACTGGTCTTGTGCCAGGATTCTAGGCCAGAGGTGGGAGGCATTCAGACACGTAGACCTCCACTTTGCTTATTATGTCCTCACCTTTGCAGTCCTTGCTCTGCTCATGGAAATAATACCAGGAGTTGTTCACATGCAAGTTGGTTTAAGGAGGACCAAAGCAATAAATATTATAGTAGCTACTAAACTCCTATCTCTACCATAAGATAGAAAAATTGAGTTCAATCTAGGCATGGGCAGGGGTCCCGCATGATTTTTATCATCTAAATAGAAAGCACATCAATATTCCTGAAGAACATCATGCTGGAATATTGCCTAGGGTACATGTTCTAAAGCAAATCTGTTGGAATCCTGGGCAAACCTCAAGTTCATGTGCACTCTTTTTCATTTATGCTAGATTGCACAGCCTCCCTCCAGCAATCAGATCTTTTATTTTTTTTTGCTTTTGGATTCTTGGTACTGGATAAATTGATCTATTTCTTTTCCCATATTTCCCTCCAGCTTGCAGTCCAGGCAATCTAAACAAACACACAGGTTAGAACATTTTATAAAATACCCTGGCACTGATCAAAGGCAGCATGCACTAAGAAAATAACTCACCCAGCCTTGGATTTGTTGGTGTTGGTGCAAACAACACCCTCCAACAGTACTGTGCCCTGTAGTCACCCACTTTCTTAAAGATGGAGAAAAGGAAACTCAGCTATAGATGTAGTATCTCTCTACCTCTCTTCATCTGCAGAATTGTAACTGTCAGTTGTCCATTGCTTTACACGCATCCTTAGGTATATGCAAGGCAGTGTAGTTACTTCTGTAGCCTACATAGTATTGTTTGGGGAAGAATGGCTTTTGGAATTCCTGTATCTCAGCATTTGAAGTCTGTATTTACCCGGGTAAAGTTGCACTGAAGTTATAATGAATTATTGCATTAAACTCTCTGCAGATTTACGGAAAAACTTTGAGCAAGACCCGCAGGGGAAGGAGGTTCCTATCGAAGGGATGATCGTTCTCCACTGCCGGCCACCTGAGGGAGTCCCTGCAGCTGAGGTGAGGCTTTCTGCATCTTACTGGTGCCTCCTGGGCTGGTGGGAAATGGGGAGAGAAGCAAAAAGGGCTCAGGTGCCATGTGGTTTTCATGGCTTAATATTGGTTGCAGTGTAAGTAAACACTTCACAGAGTAAGTAAAAAACACTTCATGTTTTTGTTACTCATTCAAAAACTACAGTGTTTAAAGGTGAGAAAAAAGTTTTCAAGTGAAAAACTATTTAAATTCCATGTGTTTTCTTTGAGACCCAAAAAAACAAATTATGACCTATTGAGTAAATAGGTACACCGACATGGTTTGCTGAATTGATTGCATGCATTTGGCTGGTTTCCAACGTCTGCATAGTTAAATAGCCAAGCAGTGCTATCGTTGCTGGAATTCAACCACTTGGGAATTATTGGGAATTGGGAAGATAATTTTAGAATTACCTGCTTTACAGTCAACAATCAAATAAAATATCTGTGTTTTATGAAAGTTAGAAATTACGTTGAATGAAAAACTGACACTTTAATTGTTTTCTACAGATAAAAATTGTAGAGTTCTCTGTAAGCCCTGATTTACTGTTGTTGATTGTAAAATTCTTATTGCTGCTAATAAAGCCTGTAAATCTTAACAGGTAATATCTTGTTGTGGACAGTAAAATTTCACATAAAGGCTCAGCATGCAAGCCTAATTCTGTACTCATCAAGGTAAACAGTCTACTAAAAAAAATTCAGTGTCTTTAGAAACTGGGTATCAGACTCAAATAAATAATGATTATGGTCTGTGGCAGTAAGCTTGAGGTTATAAACTCTTTTGGTATATTCAAGTTAAGAAAGACCTGACCTCTTAAATAAGTGGATGAGAAATAACTGCAATAGCCCGTAAGTCTTGCTCAATAATTGTTATGTCTGTGCATGTGGGTACCAAGATGTGTAGAACATTGCGAAACCCAGGGCTGGCAACAAATCAATGTCTTTCAAACAAGAATTTATTTCTTTAGAGTTTGGATGAAGCCCTAGATTAAAACTTAAGGCTTGAAAGTAATGGTAGGTGAAGCTTGTGCTTGTTTCATTAGATGCAAAATAGATGCTAATTGTGGCATTGCTTTTTTGTTTGTTTTGTTTTTTTAATCCATACTCTGCATGGACCTGGAAATGCAAACTGAAACCAGAATGGATAGGAGATTCATGCCCCATTTGTGTCACCAATATCTGTCTGAATCCCTTAGAGAAGATTCTGATTATTCTATTCCATCAAGTGCAGAAGTGCAGGCACATTATTTTCCCAAAGAGCACACATTTCCTGTGCTTGCCGTAGTCACAAGTTAATCTAGCGATTTATTTCTGACAATGGCTATGAATGAATGATGTAGTCAAACCTCTAATCATGCAATGCAGTTCAATAAGAGGCAGCTCCTTTACAACTGGAATGAGATTCAAGTTCAGCTCAATTATTTATGTGAGCCTGCCCCATTATCAACAATATAAATCTTCATCTCTGGAATTGTTTTTCTGCAGCTTAAAGGTGTTGAAGACTTGTTAAAGCTAAGGACAGAAATATTAAAAGTAAATGTTCTTTATACAAATCTCCTACACCAAAGCTTAATCCTAAAAATCCGAAGTCATTAGTCCTAGAAGAAATGGAAAGCAGGGGCGTTGGTGGTGACAGCTGACAGTTTCCTAGGAAGCACTGGGAAGGAGAGCTGTTCTTTCCCACTATTCCTGTCTGCATTGCTAGTCATTCCTCAAATATTTTTACCTCAGTGACTTTAACCATGACTGGTACTTCCTTTTTTAAAACTGTTTTAGTGGATCTCAGCATAGTCCTTAGTGGGCAGCGGTACTTGGTACTGCCTGCGTTCCCCAGCTGTGTTTATGCCATTACGTGCCATCAGTGGCAACCCCTTTCTGTGCTTTTCTGCAAGAGAAAGTGAGCAGCAACGTTGGGGGTCTGCATCTGACAATTCCTGAGATGTCATCACAGTCAGCACCTCTGCCAATGGCACCTCTTAGTGCTAATCTTTGTTTTTCTTTATTTTGGGGGTGAGATGGCAGGGATGACAGGGTGACCATACAGTGATCAAGACCAAACGTCATGAAGAGGTTCTCCAGTGAGAGTTCCTCTGTATCACATTTAGTTGTAATGGGTGAAAACACCATTTCTGTTCCAAAATGAATAAGGCTTCGATAGCTTGTCATCAGTAGCAATGAAAATATCTGGATTAAGTTTGCTTATTTGTCTTAATTTCTGCACACAGCATATATAAAAGCAGTTAGGAGAATATGGATTAAAGGTTTGGATCCATAGTTTTAAAGTATCCGAACTGTAGATGGCTTAAAATTTGACTCGTATAAATTAATTTACAAATAATGGAAGCTAATGTACCATTGTCAATGCTCTGCATGCTCACACAGTTCACTTTTAGTAAATAGTCTTTAAGCTGAATAACATATTAGTGAAAGCAAACAATCAAGGAGGATTACAAATAAAGAACTGCGGTGTTCTAATTCAGCTTTAATTTTACACAGGCATGAATCAAGAGCACCAAATCCTGCTGAGGCAAGCGCTGATTTTAATGCTGCTTTGAAATGCGCTGTACTGTCTTGACTCATTTAGCAGCAAATTTTAGTAGCTTGTGTCAGCTGGGTCTTAAGTAAGAGACATAGAAGAAGCATCTCTCTAAATCTGCATCCTCTTTCCAAGAATTTGATTATGGTCTTCATAGACCCAAAGTCGATCTCCTGTGCATGAAATGCTATTAAATGTGCCTGATTTTTACTACTAATAAATCCTCATGTGGCAACAGCAGCTGAGAGAATTGAGTAACTGAGATACTGTTTTACCCTTGCAAATAGTTCAGGTAGCATTAGCAAATTACTGAACCATTTTTTATTCTGCAGCAGTAAGAACGGGCAGGATAGGCACCTGCCTCTCAATGTGGGAGTACCACATCCACAAACGGTGCTCTTTGGAGCTCGGCTGATCTGCTCCTAGTGTGCTGCCTTTCAGCTTGTGTGCAGAGCCAGGACTGAGCTTCCTTCAGCCCCCGTGTTCTGCCCTGTGTTCCTGCCTCTGCTGCCTTTTTCAGGTTTCTCATCTCCGAAGTTTGCTCCTGTAAAGAGAGGAACGTAAGAAAATTCTGCAGATCTTTGCTTTGGGAGGTTGCTGAGTGTGGGGAACTTTCTGTGTGCATTGCCACAGCAGTAAGAGAATCAGAAAATGCAAACCCTGACACTAGCCATATTGTAAAAGGGTTTTAAATCTTCTTCTTGTGCATTTGCATGGCAAGCAAAACAGAGCTGGTGAGCAGCTGTGCTTGCAGGCATCAGCACCCAACCCAAATAAATTCATTTTTTTTATGAGTTAAACATCAAAACAAAAAAGAAAATCCGTCATTTTAAGTAGAGCATCTGATAATCCCCTGCTGCGGCAAATGTTGATTTAAATATAACAGAATCTCTGCTGGCACGGGCTTGATGGGACCAGAGCCATTTCTTTCACAATTGATGCGGAGTTGGCCTAGAGAAGAGACAGTTCTGGCTTCCAATCCCCACAACAGATTCTCCCCATAGATATGTTTATTAATTGTGTGCAATAGGGGCTTCATTTAGCTCAGAGTGTATGCAGTGAGGCAGTTCTGGTATAGTGCAGGAGCTGGACAAACTCTCTGCTGAATCCATGTCTGCTGGTGGGTTTTGTTAGGCTGCTGGGTGGGTACCTTGGGCTCAGATCTCTGGGCCTGATTCTCGACTTGCTGAGGCTGCAAACTTCAGCTGTTAGAAAGCTTTACCACAGCCTACCAGTCAGACACTGGGCATGGTGCAGAGCAGCTTATCCTAGCCGAGATCCGTGTCTGCTCAGTCACTGCAGCACCTTGGGCAAGTGCATGGCTCCCTGCCAGGCTCTGTGAGCTCAGAGCCCATCGGTTTGTCTCTAAAATATAAGAGAGAGATTTCTAGAGTCAGCCCCATGTATGAGCAGCCTCTGCAGCTATTAAAAATGCATCATTATTACAGTATCGTGCTCATCATACTGGTATATGTTTTATGTTTTATCTGCTGCACAGTGCTTTACTCTCTCTGTGTTTTTTCACTTATTGTTGTGAACGTTAATTTTGCTCCTTTGCACTATTCCTAGGAACACCCAGCAGTTACTCATGCTGCACTCCCTTGTCTCGCACCAAGGAAGTATTGCACTGGTTTCAGATGATTTTTAGAGCGTGTCCTTAGCTTACAGCCTCGCATAAAATACTCCCTGCATTCAGCTGTAGCAAAGACTCTCAAGTCCTGTGTGGAGCTTGGAAGTGGCTGCGTTGGAAATGTGAAACAAAGACTAACTAGAGCAAATGAGGTGTAGCTTAGGTCAAAAATGCAAGCGAAAGGTTTAAGTGGAAAAATGAAGTTACAATAGGCCTCAAATTTGGTTGCAAAAGCAATAGAAAAACCACAAGGGGGGTTGTCCTGGCCATGTTGTGTCAGTTCAAAAGTAAGTCTGTGGGGTCTGTTCCTCAGTTTGTTTGCTCACCAGTTACTCCTGAATTCCTGGTTGTGACCGTTTCTGCTAGCAGATTATGCTGCTTCCCCACCCTGAGCCCAACTAACTTCGCAGTCAGTGGATTTGACATGCAGGGCTGACAAAGTGTGAACTTTGGGCATTTTCACATTTGTGCCCGCTCTGTTTACCCCTCCGATAACTATAAACTCAGAAGAAGGCAAGAAATTAATGGGTGTGCAGGAAGGCACTAATTGCAAGGTGATGTTGGCAAAACAGATGCTTCAAGTGTGAACAACAACAGAACTGGCATTAAGATGCCTCCTTACCCCGAGCCAATTGAAATGAATGCAAGAAATGGAGAAATTATACATGAGATGCAATGACAGTAGAGTTCAAGTATTCCAGAGATAGTCTGCAATGTCTAGGAAGATTGACAGCCTCAACATGCTGGGTTTTGGAAAAGAAGGAATCATTTAGCACCTGTCAGCCAGCAGCCTCTAAATAACTTAGCTAGGATATTGTTTTC